TTTTTTTTTTAAATGTTTCCCTTTTTTGTATTTGAACCATGTGTTAAAAGTTATAGTTTTGTAAAATTTTTTACTAAGCTTCTACTGTATGTGACGTTCATTTTGTGTATTTGTTTGTTTCTTTATATTTATGTATATTGTTTATTCCCCCAACCCTTTTTTTGACTTTGAAAATCTTTTAGGTACTTATAAAAATGTAATAATTTACTAATTTAGCCATTTTGTGCTAATTCATAAATAATTATACATATTATAATATCTTCAAAAATGTTTTCCCTATGATAATAGCAACTTTGTTCTATTTTTTGACAGTTATAAAATATTTTTTCAAAACTGTATGTTAATTTTTTTTTTATTTGAAACATGTTCCTATATAAATGTATACATTTGTAACTGTTCGTTCAATTGTTATAATATTTGAATTTTGTTATTGATTATAAATTTGTTAAATTAATAAAAGATAATTTTTGTATACTCAAGCAATTTTAGTTTCTTCTTTTTTCGTATTGTTAAGTGTGTAAATCAAATGTTAATGACTACAAAATCATTAAAAGGTATATTTTCAACAAAAACCTTGTTTGTTATTTATACAGAGTTGAGAGTTTATAAATCCGCCGACGTTCAGTATAACCCTTCACGATTATCAGATTATTATATTGTATTCAAGGAAATATTTAAATCATCAAACACTATAAGACACGAAGAGCACTGCGAAATAAATCATATACTAACGTATTATACGGATATGTGTGTGTGTGTGTCTGTACCGAAATAAAAAATGAGTATCGAAATTAATATTAAAATACATAATGTAAGTAGTAAGCAGAATATATATATATATATATATATGTGTGTGATAGGTATATAATATTATATTAATTTGTATTAAACATGGAATAGTGTGTACGAGCAAGGCAATAGGAAAAAAACCTCTAAGGTGTTGTAGTATTGTAAAAAAGAGGTGAACTTGCAATATATATGTATTTACCTCTTTTGTATGTGTATTGCGTACACACTCCAGATTACTACCAATGCTTATATGTATGTATGTATAAACATCATGCAAATATATATATATGCATATATAAGGGTTTGATTATTTATTCATTAAAAATTAACTTACCCTATTTCGACTGAAGACTTTCTAAGTGTTTTATAGACGAAGGAAGGAGAAGTAGGTTCACTAATTAATTTATAATTAAATATTATATGCCAACACAACTGTTAATATTTAGAGATATCTAAAAAGAGCATTTATTATTTAAGACACATAAAAATTACATTTAAAATATATTGAACGGCTCACCGCGTATGTCTGTCTCCAAGGAAGGGTGTCGTTGTATTATACATATCTGGCCGATGGTCGAAGGGTATCGTCCGAGCACAGATAGAACGGATTTTGTGTAAAAGGACATAACAATATATGACCACAGAATGGCACAGATGTAAATTATAATATAAACACCTGTGTGGCTGTATTATACAATATTATGTTGAGGGACATGATGATGACACTCTTTTTAGTATTACCTAGTTGAGAGAGTGGCTTGTTGCTATGTAAAAAACTGTACTGTATAAAAAACTAAAAAAGAATTAGGTACTCAATAGTCACTATAAATCTGGAGTCCATACAAAGTAATATTATAATATATCGACCTACCTACAAAAATGTATACTTTAGTCGGATCAAATTTCGTAAAATTTGATCCAACTAAAGTCATGCTTGCAGTGCAGTGTGTATGACAGGTATGACCCGTAGACA